GAAAGAATTGGCGCGAAGAAAGCGCATTCTTCAAAGAATGCACTCAAGGTTGTGGTAATTCCCGTAAAACGCTTCTAACGGAGTTCAACACCCACTTTGTTGCTTCCTACACGCTGATAGAAGGTGGAGGATGCGCCGACACGATGACGGAAGGGAGAAGAGTCATCGATCTTCTGTCGTAAACACGGCCGCGATAGCATGAAAGAAACGTCGAAGATACTCATGGTAATAGTTGCGAAAGAACATCCATGGGATACGTTAAGGACCAAAAACGACATTCTTTCGCTTTATCGACCGTGACAACAGCCGATCCCCGCCATAGTTGATTATACGTTTCATAAATCGTATACGACCTGATCATCCTTGAGGTAATTTAAACGTCATATCAAGGATCCTAAAAAATATTGTAGTTGTTGTCGAGCGAGCACCTAGTATAGATTATAACGAACCATTATTTTGCCGTATGTTTTATCGTATTTTCGAATAGATTCGATCGCGCAATCGTTTTGGTACCGTTTATCGTCCCACTTGTGAAATGAATTTAATGTTTACGCCGGTTCACTCCCAACATTGTGGCTTTAGGACAAATTTGTTTGACATTTTTTTCGAATTCGTGACTACCCGATTGAGGATAATTGAGGATTTGGATGGAAAATTATGATGGAATATTTTTATGGAATAAAATTTTGTGAATATAAATTTTATTTTATTTTTTTATATAAATTTTTTATTTTTTTCAAAATTACATATTCAAAAAAGTATATACTTTATATTAGTAATAATTGACTCGTAAAAAGAATGAAAATAATAATTTTCAAATAATTTATGATTATTTTCTTTAGACTTATTGTACATTTTGGTTAAATTCAAATACCCTTACCAGTTGACCAAACTGTTGAAGTACTTATGACTTACATATGGTGCAAGTAGAAAAGTATGATACCCACGTGCAATTCGAAAAACAATGCGCTCGAAAAGGTTACATGCAAATCGAAAGCAACCGTATGTATTACAATGCGAAGTATATACGCATATAGTTGATGTAACTGACGAGTGAAATAACACATCGTGAAAGAAAGAAAGAGAAAAAGAAAAAAGGAATAGAAAAGAAGTCTTATAATGCAAAGTGTAACAGCAGGTATAGAACCGCAAAAAAATTCGACCCGATAACCGCAGGAATATCAATGAACTGGCCACATTCTCCGATTACAAATAGTCCCTGTTGCGACATATAACAGCTCGAAAACGTAATTTGGGTTTCTCATTTGCGCTGTGACTGCTAAAACAAACGAGCAACCGGCCCATGACTTGTTTGCTTCGAGAACATCTAGAAGTCCGTAATGAATGGTGCCCCATTAGTGACTGTTGCACGCCTGAAAATTGTTGGCGCTAACTTTATCACTGTAGTCAGTGAAATTGTTGATTGTTGGTCACGGTTCAACGGTATTGGGCCATGCTCCGACAAATCATTGGATCGCATCGATTACACAGCCGAATTTCAAGCGATTGCCTTTTTCACGTGCTGAGCGCAATTTAAAAGCGAATCTGAAATAATTTCTATTATTGTAAATTTAATCTAACCTAATGAAACAATGAAGAAAAATAACAAATAAATTATAACTGTGTTAATATAATAATAAATTATATCAAATTGTAAGTTTTCTAATATGATGAATTTTAAGAAGATGATTTTAATAATTTATAACTAATTTAAAATTGAAATGGAATACATGGAATATATTACATTCCACGGCAGTTGCAAATATTTCACATCAACGTATACATTGCGAATAATCCCAACCAGATTGTCCTCCTTACAACTACCGTTCGTTTTGAAGTGGGTGTTGTGTATTGTCATGAATTTTGAACTACGCAACTTGTCAATTGCAAAAATTATCGATGACTTTTTGATCACAGCAAACTAATATACAGTGTTACAGTGACACAATTTTTTTAAGGTTAATGCGGTTATTTAATATTTTATGCAGCTTGTATCATGAAGAACTTTCTATTTGACATGATTATGATATTTTTATGATCAAAAGATACAAGTATATTCTAATTAATAAGTAGAATATATACTAGTCTTAAAAAATTAATTCGAGATAAAAATTTTCGATAAGATTTTGATATTTTCATTTTATAGTATCTATATAATACGTATTATAAATGCTAAAAATATGAATTATAGTGTATTATAAAATGAATACATTATGGAATGTTGTATTTATAAAATAGAAAATATGATAAATGAAATTAAAAAAAAAATTTTTTCTATCAATCATCAATTTATCAATCGTCTTAAAATATCTTCTGAGTTTATATGCCAATCAAAAATGATGAATTGAAATCATGAATCGAAACATAATCCGCGCATAATGCATGAAATGCGACTAATGAATGAAAAAAGTAGTAGAAGTTATGATGTCGTGACCTCATTCTTATAGCCCCGTTCGTTCTCCATACAAGAAGGTTCTCGGACATTTTTCGTCCTTCCGTCAAACAAATTACCGACCGCGGAATGCAGACACTTTTGCATCGTGACAATAACATCAAATAACGGTAATAAAGCACGAAATTGCAAATGAAAATTGAGTATAAATTTAAATCACGAAAAAATAAAAAAAAAAAAATAAGATTAGTTTTATGATTTTAAACTAATAACATCGAATGTGAAATGGTCTTATCGCGTAATCGCGAAATCGACCTGTGAAATATCGAGCGATAAGTTATATTGAATAGGCGTTCTATGAAACTTCGGTATTCCTTTCACTAAAGTGGTTCTCAAAGACGAAATGGTGTACACAACTCGATCTGATAATCGGAGAACGGTTCTTTATACGGTCGAGAACCTCGTTCTTTTGCGATACACTTTTATCATGACGCAATCCACCTGTTATATACATAGTTACATTTCTCGAGAGAGCAGAAAATGCAAGCGATAGTATACATTACGAAGTGGCGAACTTACAGTTCAGATGTCCCTTTTGTTCGAGAATGATCTCTCCTAGATAACAGATATTCTTCTTTGCGAAAGATATACCAATCTCATTCACAGTCCTCATATTCGTCAGATAAACACTGCCGGCAAAAAAGAAAATTTTCTTTTAGACAAATATGGAATTGATTCGCTGATATGAACATTACTTTTTGAATGTTTATAATATAATAAATGAGATACAATAAATGAGATATGGAATTCACTTGCTAGTTCATATATTTAGCATTTTTAGATTTCTTGTTTCGTGAGATTAATCATAATTCGGTTAAAAGACGCATAAATAAATTTCGCGAATTACATCATACGTTTATTTGAAAGTTCTCCTTTGTTGGTTTAAGTTGGAAATTCTATTTTGTATCTCGCGAGGTAGTGAATGTATTTTGTATCTAAGGATGTAAGTTCGAGTCCTAGTTTATCCTATTACTTTGGAATGGCAGATCCCAAGAGTATGGTATAGCATAAAATTGTCTTAAAGTTATTGACTCTTGAAAATCAAGAATAATTTTAAGATGTTCGTTATATTGAACGATGATATTACTAATTATATTATTAATTTCTTCTTATAATTCAATATAATCTTTTATTAAAACTATTATTTTATATTAAAATATTTAAATTTAAATTTTAAAATAAATAAATTTACCATTTCTTCCATCTTGAGTTTAAATTTTCTGATTTATAATGGATAATAGATTTTAAGCCAGTATCATTGCCCAAAATTAAAATTGGTTCACTTCGAGTTCCGTTCGTCATAGAAGATATCATTTCTTCATAAATGATAGTTGCTTCAATGTCTTGTTGGAATTCGATATGAACAAGAAATAATCTATAAATAATTTAAACTATAGATTTATATTTTATTTATATATAAATTAAGTTTAAAATAATTAAATTTAATTATAAAACATAAAATTCTTACCTATGATACGATCTAAGATCATTCGTAATTAATTTTAAACAACCACCACCTTCGAAAGAAAATTGATTACAAAATTCGAAGCAATTTATGTCCAATATTGGCATTTTGTCTTGAATATTTATAACATTTTCTAATATTCGAATAACGTTTTTCTTTGTTTCGTAAATATATTGTATCGGTTGTTTTGGACACTCATTTCGATCGTTTTCATTTTTTGATTCAGGAAGTTGTGGAACATATGTAAATTGTAAATGTGGTGTAGGTACAGATATTTGTGGCATTTGCTTGGATAAGTTATAAAATGATCTTTGTTCCCAAATATTTTTACCTTCTACAGTGCGCATGTCTAATTGTATCTGTAAAAAATTTATATATTAATATATTCAATAAATACATTTAATTTAATAATACAATCATTTATATGTTTATTAAATAATATTTAAAAATATTATCGAATATTTAATATACCTCACCACAGCTATAATACAAACTACCACTTCCACGACAAAATGATGTTTTAAATATTTCTTCTTCATAGATAAGTACATGAATATATAAATAAGGAAACAATTGTGCCCAAAATAAATCTTCTAATTCTTGAAATGTTTTGGATCCGAAAAATTCATGAGTCCAACCAGGAGCAAAAATTGCGACCGAAAGTTTTTCTTGCCGTATTTTTCGTAAAGCCTGGAAATTATTATAATTAGATATTAAATAATCACTTCTTTTAAATATAAAATAATTTATAATTACATATGTTGAATTAAATCCACCACCACCAGGACACCCTCTTCCCCAAACGTCTAGTCCTACATAAATATCATGAACATTTCTGTTATGATTTTTTGCAAGTGCATAACTATTTTCTAGTTTTGATTTATTCCAGTTATAGTTCAAATAAATACCATCACAATTTAAAAAAAAGTCTCTGAAACATAAAAAAGAGAAATAATTATAAAAATAATTTTACTTATTTAAAAATAATTATAAAAATATAAAAATAATAATTTTACATATTTTTATTATTAAGTTCATTTTGCCAGTTTAATGTTCCTTCATTAGTCACACTATCATACCATATAATTTCAGAATCTTTTATTGCTTCATGAATATTGTCTGTTAGATATTTCACGAAATAAATTAAATTATTGATTTGTTCATTTTTAATCACATTTTCAATGTTTAATAACCAGCCGTCAAATTTATAAAATTTTGCAACAACTATTAGTGCATCTGCAAATTTTCTCACATCCTCCTGAGATATAAGTATAAGATCCCATATACCTTCTCTTTCAGTTATTACAGTACCAAGAATTTTAACTCCATGATCATGTGCTGCGTTAATCCATCCATAAGGTGGAATAGTAATAAAATAATGGCTAAAGTATACAAATGTATCAATAACACTCCAATGATAAAACAAATAAGACTCATAAGACTTTGATCCATCTATAAATCTGAAGAGAAAATTATATTAACATATGAATAATATATATTTCTACCATAATAAACATAATAATTTATATACATATTACCTATCTTGCAGATAACCACCTTTCATATCATGACATAGTAATGTTCTTGGTTGTTCTTGTCTATCAAATTTTTCCAAATACAACTTTTGTATATTTATTTCTGAACCATTATACACATAATCTGTTGATTCTCTTAGTTTCTTAATATCAGGCCATGGTTTTAGATTATCCACATTATCGTATAATTCTTGTAAATTCTTAAATGGTTGTGATTCTATGACTTCAGTTGCCATCCTTCTAATTTGCACTGTTCTGTAGATAACTTTGAAATAATTTTCAATTTGTTAATTTAAACAAAGATTTTCTTTCCTATTTATCTCACAGGAAGAATCATAATGATATAAAAAATCTATTATGTTGATAACAGTCTCAACAAACGGAAATTTTATATCTATGTATTTACGTTATATACGTTATATTTTTAATATCTGCCAGCTGTTAATATAGATAACGAAATATGTTCATTTATATATCTATAAAATGAAATAATATGAATTCATATATACATACATAATTATCTTAATAGCTGTTTCTCTATATTTATAGTATAGAAATTTTAAAAAAATATATATTTTATAAAAATTATAATTAAAATAACTTGAAATAAATATAATTGAATAAATGTTTTAACATATGTATGTTCTAATATATAACGTTTGACATCTAACCTTTAATATCAGGTTATATCATTGATATCAAATCGGTATACATCTGTATTGTTAGAAGTATTTTTTTTCTTTAACATTCTTTTTATCAGTTTTTAAAATTATCAATATTTAGAAATATTTTTTATTCAAAACAAAACTTATACTTTCTTTTTAAATTTGAAAAATTAAACTTTTCTAACTATGATTGTAGCGCACTCTAATATAACTTATGTTGTCATTATATATCTCTTAATAATTGTTAGTTGAGGTCTAATTGTTTTGAACAAATGTGATAAATTTTTATATTTACATATATACAAAGGGAATTTACTTATGAAAAATAATAATAAAAATTAACATTTAATATATTAATAAAAATAACGTAACTTATTTAATAAAAATCTATATGACCATATTTAATAATCGATTAATAAATAAAAAAATAACGCATCAATATAATAAAGAAAGTGATTATAATATAAAATAATATAAACTCACAAAAATAATATAGGGATTATTTTTATTTAAATTTCTCGTGAAAAATTCAAAAAAATTTGAGTACCAAAATCGTTTTATTTCCTCACAGATTTATTTACTAGGCTTGCTATTAAAGATTAACTCATACTCGCATTTTACATTCATTTCAAAATTTTAATATTTTTTCTTACATTCATATATTTTCTTCTTCTTTTAATTCATTATTTTGTTTTTCTTGAATTAGTCATCTTACATGCATAATTAATACACAATTTTACTATATGGCATCATCGATGTTCTATTATACATATATATATACATCCATTCCATCCATATGTGTATCTCACGCTAAATACATTCCTACAATAACTCAATATAAGATGCATTACATATAGTAGTAATTGAGAATAAAATTAAACACATTAAAAAATGAACATCAAAGAATTTTGCGATCATTGATTCTTTGATTGATTATGTAATATGTATTTATATATTTATATCACTTACTATATCAGTTCAATGAAACAATAAATGTGTTGTAAACTATTCGTTATTTTAGTATACATAAATATATTATATTATTATAAATAATTATAATACTTTTATTACGTAACATCTTATTAATATATTTTTTATGATCACGCCTGATTTCGTGATGATTTCACTTTTTGCTTCTATTCATTATCTTTTTTGTATTATTCGATTCTTGATTCATTCTTTTCTCGGAAATAAGTAAAGTTTGCTACTAATCGAATCACGTGATAAACACTGCGAGTTCAATTATTAGCTATCGAACTATCGATATTAAAATCGGTTTTGTATTGTTGAGTTAATTGTGATATTGCCGTTATAAAGATCGTTTGTTATAAAAAAATAAATAAATAAATTTTATTTGGGAATTATTATTTTAGAAATTATTTGTTACGTTATATATATGTATTTTTTGAAAATATACGCGATCTTTTCAACCTATTATGAGTATATTTTTCAAGATCGAAATCGAAAACGAAATTTTACACGTAAATGATATATAAATACTTCTTTAAATTATTCATTTGTTTCTATCATATATTTAACATATTTAAACATATACTATAGTTATCTCGGATTAATTTTAATCACTCAAGAATGATTTTAACCTTAAAATTATATAGGATATCGAACATATTTCGATAAAAATTAGTTAATTTAATATGAAACAAGTGAAATTAATAATTTAACTTAACTGAACGAAACAGTTTGAAAATAAAAAATAAAATTCTGTATGAAATTCTCGGAGTTTTGTGTTAAATAATAAAATGTAAAATTACAATAGGTAAAAATTGAAAGAAAATTGACACGTATCATAAGATCTTTCTTTATTTAGCGTTTTTTTTAAGAAGACAGGAGATCCCACGGGTACAAGACAGATACAATGGTATAGGATGATTGGAAGACGTACGAGATCGTTACGAAAAAGATTAAAACGGAAAAACGAACTGCCATGATGGTCCCGCGTGATCTCGTGATGATCCCATTTTTTTCTCCCATTTATTCTTTTTTTTATTTTTCTCCTTTTTTTTGTGCAATTTCATATTTGAATCTTGAGGAAATAGATCGTTATGAAACGATAATATAGCGATTGTTCGCGATTCCTTCGAAAAATGACACAATTAAAAAATAGTAGTCTCGATCGTTATTCCATTTATAAACATTCGAGATCATCCTGTTTTCTATTTTCACTATCATTAAAGATAATATAAGTATACAGGCCGTGTTATGATGATGTGATTACGCGGGCTCATTCAACGAAAATGCGATTAATACGTATGTGACAGTAAACTTGTATCGTTGCAAAAAGCGAACCCGACGATATTGTTCAAAACGTTGCTCGATATTCTATGATAGTATACATCTAATTGAACGAACGTTCATAGAAGTTACGGCAAATCTTGCAATAAGACGTCGTGGTTTCTCCTTCTATATATGTATTGTAAAACTTTTAGACAAAGTTACCTTTTGAATGTATATATATCACATTGGATCTCTACCTAACTATGCGACTAACTATGAACAATTAACTCGTCATAAAAGTATAATTACAACCCTTCGCTTCTTTCGTATCTGATTCTGTAATCGGTGTTACTATAAGATCATTAACTATTTGTACGCTGAGATAGATTCTCTTCATGATCAAATGGTAATTTATGATATTTATGGTAATAGATGGAAATAGATTGAAAATAGATGGATCATTTCTCTTGATATGTCTTTAATGATAATAATTATCATTATTATTGCTTACCATTTTTATCATTGCTTTAATAAAATTTATTCGATTAAACTAATCTTTCTTTCATTATGTCATATATAATAATAAATAATTTTTCTGTAAAAATAAAAAATTTTTTTACAACGTTTATTTTTTTCTCATATCTTTTTACAATAAACTATTTAATTTTCTGAAAATAACGAGTCAAGAGATATTTAAAACAGGTGGTCCATCTATCTTCCAATATTACATTTATATTTATAGGCTATTAGAATGAGTATAGCTGACAACCCAGTGTAGCTATCTTTCTTTTTTCGAAATAATTCCGTGTCTCTCGCAAACGTAGCTCGATTATTGAAACGCTGCAATTATACAGGAAAAACGTACCATAAAACGTATAGGCGGATATATATCTACAAAAGTGCATAAGTCGAAACGCTTGGATATCCTATTCCTATGTATAATTAAATATATATATATGTATGTATATATATATATATTTATATTATATGCATAAATACGCATAATATTATCTCTTGATAATTTGGTTCCTTGTGTAATGCATATAGATACGTGTACATACGTGTATTTATATGTATATATACGAATATATATATGTATGTATGTATTAATCAATAATTGATCCATACAACACGGGATTCCATTTGTTTTTTTTTTTCTTAAGAGCAATACATATACATACGGTATATAGATCGGGAGACTATTTAATATTGGATTCAGGTGATGAAATCACGTTATCGATTTTTATTAAATACTTTTTTCGCTTCGTATCGTTCTAATTTTCTTTTATCTTATATAAAGTGGTTTTTTAATTGATAATATACGTATTTTATTAGGTTGTCTCAAAGTTCTCCTCGATCAGCAAACTTTAACAGATCAGGTTATTTAAATTAATATTTTAAATTTTCTAATTCTCCTCTATACGAAATATCCTCTTCTGTTTTGAAATGAAGGAAAACCAGCAAAAGAATTTTTTTATCTCTTATTAATTCTTATTAGTAAATCAAAATAGAATGTTAATTATTAAAAATAGAATTATGAAGCTTTTAAAAAAGATAGAGGAAAGTGAATAAGAAGAAAAGAAATTTTAAGGACAACTTAATAAATTGTTGATCTGCGCAAGGAAGGTAGAAAGAAAGAGAGAAATTATGAATATCCTCGAGAATTTTACTCTATGCTTTTTTTCACTTTCGCTAATTATAATTCTTACTTAATTAATCGTTTACTACGCTAATCGACTCATCTTAAAACTCTTTAATTTTTTTCTTTTCAGTGATGATTTATTATATTCACTCGTGATATGATATACATGTACGAAATGTTCGATCAGTATTAATCGATCCTCGGTTCGTCTAAATTTTTAACAACAGTAAGTAATGCAAATAATCCTCTCCAATATTATTTCTATCTGACTTTGTCAAAAGATATTTTTATTCCATTTTTTTGCAGAAAACACGAATCTGAAACGAGTCAATTTAATTCGATAGTTCCACTATTAAAGTATATCTTCCTTGGTTACGACCAAGGATTAAAACGACAAGATTGATATTTTGTATATTCAACTAAAAGGGATTCATTTCACGGAATCCACAAAGGCCAAATCCAGATCGCTCAATAAACTTCCTGAACACCTCGTACAATTGATAACTCGCAGAAGCACAGGAAGTGGTCGTCGCAACGATTCATGACGCAGAGCCAAGCGAAACGGCCTTGAACAGGATATGACTACGTCTCGGCTAGTCATATATATATATATACATATGATGAAGGAGACGAGCGCCATCTACGATCTTACCGCACAAGGATCGAGGGCTATCAAGCTCTGCAATGCTTCATCTCTTAAAACGGAACACCGGATCGACCACGATTTTCCTGGTACCCGGCAATATTAATTCGTACATTTGTAGGCCGACGTCTACAGAATTATATTTTGTTCATCGCTGTGTCGTCGAACGTGGAAATTAATTTTTTCTCGTTCGAGAATGTGTACAAAAACCACGACAGACGAGTGAACGTTCCCTAACTTATTTTTGGAGAACTAAAGCGCGCGGGATTTTCGAAATCGGGCTAACATCTACGGGGTTGTCTACGATAGAAAATTTACGGCCAAATTGGCCAAGAATCGAGGATCTTATGGTAAAAGGAAGGCGGATCCATTGATAATTTTTTAGTTAATTTCGCGTAAGTAATAAGTAAGTAATATATAAGGGATATGTATAATCTTATTATAATTATAAATAGTATACGTAGTACTTATCTAGTATCTAAGAACAATTTTAATCTAGATTTGAAAAATTTTCTTGTCTTTCAGAAATATATGTATGTTGGATGTCAGAGGATCTTTTTGGATGCAGAAATTAATTCTAGAGATGATCATTATTTGTCAATCAGTTTTGTATAATATTGTATTATCTTCCATATTTCAAAATATGCATTATGCATATTTCAATGAGTAATATTAATGTATAATGTGAAATTT